ACTTTTGAATTTAGCAGGCCTTACAGCGAAACACGGCCCACTAAATTGACCAATCATAGCGAGCACGTACTAAGTGAGAGATATTATGAAAGATTCTTATTCGGTAAATGCGCAGGAACTCTGGGAAAAATAAGGCAAGCAAAACTACCAGACAGTGAAGAAACGTTTGCGCTAGAAAAATTGACCGAGGTTCTTCACATTCAAACCTCATCTTAAAAACACAATTTGTTAATCTAACTGCAGAACAATTTGGCTCACCTGAAAAAATCCAAAGAAACTAACAAGAACGTTGAGAGTATAAGTGATCCCCATGGCTGTATACAAAATAATTCTCTTGTTTGCACGAGTTTGATATCGCAGCTCTCCATGCATGGGTAGGATGTTGAAATGACATGAAAAAGTGAGGCCAGCGATGGAGATAGCTGTGAGAAGCCCGCCAAAGTTATCTGGCCACCATCGCAGTGGGTTTTTAGGACTATCGACCGGCCCTCCAACGTCGTTTATGATTGACTTGAAAATCACGACTCCGGAAAGAAAAACTACACATATGACGCTGAGGAGATTTAAAAGATATAACTGACTGATATAACAAACTGCAACTGTAAATATCATTATCATTTAAGCTACTGCACCGGTCAATTTTAAGTTTTTGATTCACTCGCATGGTATAAATGCCTGACTGACAGTGACCACAGTGGTGGATTCAATTCTTCCAACAACAGTGTTGCAAAACAGGGGTAGTAGAGCAGAGGAATACACTTTAATCTCTACAGAGAGGATGTATTCTGCACTTCATCTTTGCTTAACTTTCTTGTTTACAACTCTTTTAGATATTGACATGATAAGCAATGAAATAGTTTACCAATTAAATAAAATATCAAAACTGAGAAAGATAAAGTTTTCTTTCCTTACCTTAAAACTGAGGTAAACCTTAAGGCACTCATACTTTTTAGCAGAGTGATTGGAAAGATGACCACTGTTGGTATAGTCAATATAACAATCTTTTTTGACCAGATGGAATTATGGCCACATAGCAGAACAATTATTGGTTCAATCTATGGATTAAGAATAATTCTTTAATAAAAGAAGCTGAATTAAGGACACATTTGATTGGTTCTTACTCACAAGCTATTGAAGGCCAGGAACATTTGCTTCTTTATTATTCCATGTTGCCATGGAATAATCACAATAAGATTTCAAATTGTGGTAAGAACACCAACGACACACTTAGCTGTGCCTTAAGTGCCACTTTTTTGTCCTTTAACTCCCAAGATCTGATTGTTAATTCTCCCCTCTAGCTGCTACACATTTCCTTGTAAAATAGCTGCAAGAATTTGGTGCTAGATCAAGATAACAACTTTAACCTGATAAGTTTGATATTCTTATTACCTGCCTGCCACTCAAATTTGTTTATTCCACTGATCTAAAGAAGTTTAGAAGAAACTACTTTGACTGCATATGTGTAAATTCACACCTGATAGTTTTAAAACTGACAGAATATCCTAGTTTTTATTAACGTGATTCTAAGACCTATGTGATCTTAAGTTTTATAATGTTCTTAGTATCTTGATATTTTAGTATTTTAAATCTCTGTTATTAGAATTATTGTAGTTCAATTCCCTTAGGCCATGAGGGGGGGATACAGTCTTGACTGCTGAAATAAAGATTTACTTACTTACTTAATTACAAATTGTCATCAATTTTTTCATATCAGATATTTAACCCTTAACTCCCATGAGTGACCAAGATAGAATTTCTCCTCACAATATCAATATAATTTCAAGCAGACAAGTGATGAGAATAAAGAAAAATATCAGTTAAGGGATTAAAAGTTGATCAAATACCAAATTCTCCAAACTAACATCAGGGGAACTGTATAGCAGACAGTAAGGAGAATTACTATTGAGATCTTAGGAGTTAAACAGTTAAAAGAGTTCTTCTCTCTGAATACTTGAACAACAACAAGGACAAACAATAGGACGTGCTACTGATAGATCTGTAATTTTTTTTTCAGAATTAGCAAACTTAAACTGCTGCAACACTAACCTGGTCTGTGATCAGAATCCAGTATGCAACTGAACATAAAAACAGTGTTACAATAATGACCATTTGAGTAAGAATCTGAAAACAAAGAACAATCAATTTACATCTGACATCACCATACATCTGATTATAAGAAATAGTGTCATTAGAAGCAAGTATGAACTCAATTAGCCCTGGAACTCTGATGAATGACCAAAACAGAATTTCTCCATACAATGTGACTATGTAAGAGAAGAACTGAACAGTATTTCTTATATGAATAGTATATCAGAGACCACACAGTTTTTGTAGTGTGTGTTTCAGGGGTAAAATTAGAGAACAACTCTCTGAAAGTAGCATGTAGCATCTAAGGTGAGATTACAGGAACAAAGTGTTGAAAATAGTTCAGTGTTGGCTAAAAATTTTTTAACACAACTTGATCAAGCAGAAAAGTGATAAGAATAAATAAATTTGAATTAAAAGAAAGCAACAAAACTTTTGAGTCTGTAAAACATGTTTCGACAGAAACTTCTGTTATCTTCAGTTAATTACTGTACAAAGCGTTTAAAGTTGAATTATATAGTAAGTAGAACAGTGCTAATTATGATAAATAGTGACAACAAGAAAAGAGGTAAAGCATGAAAGTGTGAGAATTAAAAAGATAGTTTTAGATTTACATGGTGTAATTGCTGATTCAAGGATGGTTGTTCTCTTTGAATATGAATAGCCTCTTTTATCTTAAGCTGAAAGCTGGTAGAGGCGTGATCTAAAACATGGCAGTTATCTGTAGAACACAAAGCGAGACAATGTGGAGAATCTTTCCGATGCCTGAAAAAGTGAGAGGCCATGTCATTGACTAAGTGCCCTCCAACATGTGTGGAAAAATGCCACACAAATTAGTAGATAATTAGGTGATCCAATACCAAATTCTCCAAATTGACATCAAAAGAATTGTATCAGATTCCTTACTGTCTGCCATACAATTCAAGATGCGAGTTGGAGAAAAAGAACTCCAAGGGCTCCCAATGGGAGTCAACCTGTGACAGACGATGAGTACTTTTAACGTTAAAAAAAAATTCACCATCTTCATTTACATTACGTGATGGAAGAATTTGAGTCAAACCTACTACAGATAACAAGTACTTTGGATGCTCAAAAAAGACAAAATTCACGATCTTCATTCACAAATCATTGTGCATGGGCATCACAAATCAACATTCTTATTCTAGCAGTATGTAGCAAGTTTGTTACCATGGATCTAGTTAAATAGCCCAGTGTCTGCCATCAGTTTCCAATAAGTCAGTGGTAGAACATCCAAAGTACTAATTGGAAGGTTGTAGGTTCAACTCCTATTGGAAACACAAGGAGTTTTTTTTCTGTGCCTGTGTCATTCACTGACTTACTCTCCTTTCACTTAAAACACCAGAGCCCATTTCTCAAAGTCTCAGTAACTTAATAGGCTTGTACAGCTGATCTTATTTTCATTCCAGATTGGGGTTTAAAGGTTTCAAAATGATAAAAAAAAAACCATCAATTAAAGAAACAAAATGGATTGGTTAGGGTGCCAGAAGCTGCTTCTCTACTGATTTAATTTTTATTTCAAAATATGGTTTTGGGCCTGTCGAGTTACCTGGACTTTCGAGGAATAGGCCTCAGAGCCTACTGGTTCAAACGGTAGATAATGCTATCCAATGGATAAATCGCTATCCAGCTGATAAGTGTCAACAAAACATAATATGCTATTCACCGGATAGAGATTTATCCAGTGGATACCATAATCCACTCTTTGATCAACCAGGGCCAGGCTTAAAAATTCACCATCTTTACTTACATCATCAATCCATATGATGTTAATTTTACTCTGGTTAGTTGTAATTTTATCAAATAGTTTGTTCACTTAGGCTTTTATCTTCTACTATAAGTCAATTCTTGAATAATCGAGATGAAACAATTAAACATACCTTTCCCTTATTTCCAAAAGCAATATTAGCAACATCTTCAATATTTGTTATTTTCCCTTGACAGTATCTCTTACTGTTTATGACGAGAAATGCCCCATGAGTGGATGCCATAAGAACACAGAATAAGATTATAGATGTCATGATAAAACCTCCTTCTTGAAATGCAAATGGTAATGAAAGAATTCCCCCTCCAACCATGGTTGAAACAAGAGTGAATATTGATGAGAACACAGTTCCTGTTCTTTCATGTTCCTCGCTATTTACAGGATGGATCAGTGGACTGGATTCATTCAGAGGTGATACCTCATCTTTGTCTTCAATCTCTGAGTAATCACTACATTGAAAATATACAGTTAATAATGAGGTGCTGTTGTTTGTTGTTCAACCAGCTGCTCACTTGATATGTGGTAGATCATGACACTTAATTTGACCGTACACTGCTAGTCTTCATCTGACCAGGAGATTTAGTGGTTGTACATTCTAAGGACATCACCGTGGGAGAGGGGGGAGGGGGTTAGGGGGAGGGAGGGTCTTAGGGTTATAAACTTGTGTCAGCAAGAATCTTTTACCAAGATCTTTTTATAGTGCTTGAGTTGTTCGTCTGTAACCACCCAGACAGATTCTCTATCTGGATGGGTTGGTTAGTTGATAGGAGCTCACAAATTCTCTGGGCCTCATAAGCTAATTTCGATGTATGTGGTGTCCGCAAATTTATCCAGAAATTCTAAATTAAGTGATAAGGTCATAATTGTGCCTTACTTTCACCTAGATTACATCTTATAGATTAATCCTTCCTAGTTCCCGTGCAGGGTTTTATGATGTTTGCACTGACTAAAGTTGTGAAAAACCAAGTAACTTCTTGAAAAAAGCCATCAAAATCTACTCAAGTGACAATAGAAGCTTTCAAAAGCTACTTAATCAACTGCAGCACAAAATATCGATTGCGTTACTTCCTCGACGGACGATTTTCATTGCGCAATCATCGATTACACAAATTTATGCATTACGTAGATTATAGCTGAAGAGCGATAAATCGACATTTTCCAAGTACAGAATTAACGACAGAAGCATCATTTTTAGTTATAATTCTATAAAATCTGTTTACATAGGATGACCTCCTTTGAAATAAACAGAAATTTAAGAATGTCTAAAACACAATGATGTGTTATTTAAGCGCGATAAAATCAACCAACACAATTTACAACAAAAATACAAGGAACTTACGTGCTTAGGTTTATAGCAGATTCTTCGACATTTAGTTGAACTTTTTTACTTTCCTCCGCCATTTAAATTCAACTTAATGAAGTTATTTTTCGTATAATTATCACAGTCCCTCTTCCGCCTTCGTCTCACAGTAAAAGATGATTCCAGAGTCACGCTCGCGGTGTACTTTGCCGTAACTATTCCGGAAGTGAGGTAACAGGAAGGAAATAGATCTTCTCCGGTTGAATCACCCCTAGTACGTAGTCCCTCTCCGTTTCTTATGACGTCTACCGGTCTCGCACAGTCGCTTGGTCGGAGAGGAAGGGATTAGAGTTGGAGTGGATCGCAAAGATCTAGTTTTCAAAATGAATGTTTTAAGAACGTGGAAACAGTTGTCCAGACTTGGACAGACAACGGTAAGCTTCTTTATAGTCTCAACTCGCTGTTGCCTAATTATGTTCCGTAGATCTGTTCTAAAAAATGAGTACTTTGCGAATCAACATGCGTGTACTGCATGTGATAACAAGAGAAGCCGTTAGCAGTTTCCATTATCGTTGTTACCAATATCTGTATTTTTTTTACTTTGTTTTGCAATTATTATGTAGCAAACTCTTCAACAAGGGCTGATAGGCAGTTTGGTACGACTCCAGTCGACGCAAGCTCAAACTTTGGTACGTCCCATTTAATATCCTGATGTTGACTTCCTTATAATTAAATTGGAAACTTTCGCTTTGTTCTTCTCTGGCAATTCGTAACTTGAAAAATATCCGTTAATTTTCTTTTCCAGAGCTTGAAAGAAACAATGTATCGCATAGTCCCGGAGAAACAGAAGGAAGTTGCGGAATTCCGGAAAACTTACGGCGATAAATCTTTGGGGGAGTACACAGTTGACCAGGTACTTTTCACACTCCATGTCACGATTTGAAGAAATTGCGTCACATTTTCTGTTAGATTTTTGTCACGTTAGGGTATAAAGGCCTATTTTTACTATCATTTAAACTGTCTTATCCAAAGTCATCTTATAAGATCTCTGCTTCCCCGTTTGTTTTCCTTCGTTTGGTGTTAGATTTTAATACAAAAATTATAAATTAAAAGGTTCGTCGGTTAATTTTTACCTTCCAGTTCAATGCCTAGATCTATAGTTGAACCAGAGTACTGAGACGGCAATCTGATTGTGGTTTATTGTATAATTCAGTGCTAATGGTCATACTTTTAAAGTGAATCGAAAGTTTTTTTACTGTTATTTTGGTGTAGTATTACTTTAGCTCGAATTATCATGATATTTGATCATTAATATTGAATATTAGTCAGTATTGTTTCGATAAATTGTTCTTTCAACTGGAGATTGATTTACCGGTGATGTAGTAACTAAACTTGCACAATTTTGCTTGTCCATCTCTCAAATTCTATTATCTTTTTTGGTAAAATTTCCGCACAGCCCCATGCTATTGTAAAACAAATCTGTTTTCCCAATAGCAATGTATTGTTATAGTCATTGTTTTCTCTATTCAAGAACTGAATGCATAATGAAGTATGGGGCTGTGCGGAAATTTTACCTCTTTTTTGATCCTTAAAATCTGATCATTACAACAATTGCTCACATGTTAAGCAAAACATCAGGGAAAGATTTTGGGCAAGCTGTGGTTGTGGTTTCTGGTACTGTTAATTGAGATGTTATATTGTTCAATCAGAAACATTAAATTTAACACAACTATTTAAGCATTTATATTGTACCACTTCTAGTAATACTTAACCCTTTCACTCCCAGGATCAAAATAGTAATTCTCCTGATTGTTTTCTATACAATTCTTATGATGTTGGCTTGGAGAATTTTGTATTTGATCAACTGATAATCTTCAAATTGATATTTTTCTTTATTCTCATTACTTGTCTGTATGATTTTGTATTGATACTGAATGGAGAAATTCTGCCATGGTCACTCATGGGAGTTCAGGGGTTAAACCTAGTAAATTGTAATTTTTATGATATAACAATAAAATCTTATGCCATTGATAGAAATTATATGTTTTATGATGCATACTACTTTAATTAGCAGTAAGTTAGGTTAGATTGACATTGATAAGGGTGCCCTGAATTGTTTTTTATAGGTTTATGGTGGTATGCGAGGTATCAAAGGTTTGGTTACAGAAACCTCACACTTAGATTCAAATGAGGTATTGAAAGAAAAATCTATAATAGTAATAGAACCAGGTGTAGTCCAATTCTGTCTTTAATCATACCAGTGATTAGACAATCGCAAAGTGGGAGTCTGATTTGTTCACACAAGTATGATTATGGACAGAATTGGAAGACATGCAGTCCTGTTACCAATTAATCAAAAGTATTACAAAATTTGAAAAAGAAACTAGACACCGTTTGCACAAAAAAAAAAAATTAACTCGGCAAAAATGCAAGACAACAGTGCATGTACATGACTCATTCTGTCCACTTGCTTAGGTATGACATGATAACTGTCCCTTTAACTGTCCTATTGCACTGTCCAATTACAAGCATGATGTGTACACTGTCCTACTGGTGTTCAAATTGGGCTGGTGATAACCAATCACTTTGAGAATTTTGTTATAGTTTTGGTTAAATCCAGAATAAAAACAATGTTCTGTGACTATTACCTAATGGTCAGTAATTTCACTAATCATTTTTTCAACATCCAGTAACACAGTTCAGTATGGTGTGCTATTTACAATTACAATAATCAAAATATACTGTTTTATATAAAGTTTTTTAACGCTAAAAGCTCCATTTTGAGCAATGTCTGATTTCCTTACCATACAATAATTGCATGTCAGATTAAAGAAGTTCAGCACATTTTTAAGGGTATGTAATTTTTCCTTCAATTTCTTTAAGGGGATTAGGTTCCGAGGCTATACAATTCCAGAATGCCAAAAGGTATGTTCTATCATCTAATGCATATTTGTATATGGAAGCTATTTATTGTTTGCAGTTGTAAAGGTGACTGTTCTCTCAGTAAACCAAAATATTAGACATAAATTTAACTCTTGATGTGCGGTTTTGTCTCTTCAGCTGCTCAGAGGTGAACAGTACTTGCTATTCACTTTTGAGCTGGCTAATCAACACACGTGAAAAACTGCTAATATCAGATATTAAAGAAATGTTACAGAAAAGTAGTACTGAATGTGTTCCATCTGATAGAAGATCTTCTTTTGACTTTCTCTGAAGCTTTTGCCTAAGGCAGATGGCGGTGAAGAACCTTTGCCAGAAGGAATATTTTGGTTACTTATGACAGGAGAAATACCAACGAAACAGCAGGTGCGTTTGATGAATTTTTATTGGTTATTGGATTGCAACTTTTCTAAAGGAAACACTGTAGTCCTGAGACTTGGGCACTGGTCTCAGGATGAAGGAGGCCCAGGTTCCTGAGTTGTATTTTTGGAGAAGACTCCTAACTTCTACAGTACATCTATTTACTCAAGAGTATAAAGTTGAATCTTGCCCTGTAGACACCTCACTATTACAGACACCTTGCCATTACAGAGAAGAGTCAGCCTCCCTGGCAAAATGCTTAAAGAAATGACTGAAATAAACTCCCGTTTTTATGGACACTTTGCTATTTTGGAAATGTGTGCCCCCCCCCACCAGCACAACCTTCAATTGTTTTTCTCCTCTTGCTTTAGTGGACACTTAATCCTGATTCACATAATGTAAAGTGACATTACCATAAGGGAAAATAAAGACTCCATTTTTCAGTTAGGTGCAAACATGTCAATTTCCTTCTTGTGGTCACATCTTTTTCTGGTTCATAAGGGGTTCATCTAGGGGTTACAATGTAACCCCTAGATCACAGGTCAAGAGAAGGAAGCAAATGATTCCCAACTGAAGAAAGCTCATGATTGTTAATATAAATTCTCCTTTTCTGCACCTTAGGAAATGTATAGAGAACAGGATGTAGAATATTCACACTGATTAAAGGGTGTTAAAGACTAAAGAAGTGCCACTGAATTGTGTTTCGAAGGGTCATACTACAGATGATCTAATGTTGGGTTTTCATTTTTTCGGTCTCTATTATTAATTATGCACAAACACATCCATAAACTCAAAACCCATAACTTAATAAATAACATACATGTATCTCAATTTTTCTATCCTATATATTCTTGAAGGGGTAAAAAAAGACTCTTCATTAAATACTGGGCTGACAACACAAAGAAAATGGCTACATGGTAATACAGAAATCCTCAAAATGCAGCTTTCTATCCAAACACTGCCACTAACATATGGAATAATCCACTTGCAAGCTGGCTTACAAATGTCAAATATCACCATGATAATTAGTTTTCCATTTAGAAACACTTTCTTGACAGATGGACAATGCTTACTGGATAAATCAACTATCCTCTAGAGAGTGTTGTAACTTCTGTCAACGCCATTCTCTAGATCGTGATTTATTCATTTAAAAGTATTTATACTTGGCCCAGGTAAATTTAAAATGTGAGGGAAATGGTTTTGAGGTTTTTTTCATTCATTTGTAACCAAAATAGGTTGACAACTTGTCCAAAGAATGGGCTGCCAATGCTGACTTGCCGCCACATGTTGTGCAGATGTTGAACAACTTTCCTGAGACTCTGCATCCAATGAGCCAGTTTAGTGCAGCAATCACAG